TCATCAGAAACACTCGGATGCACCTCTGGAAAGCAGACTACTTTCCCTCGACCGTTTTATAGCCTGTCTTTCACTAAGAATCATTCTAAAAATTCTAGATACTACAATATTATCCTCCTGTTTATTAATTTTCAATCAATTATCGATTACAAAGCAGCAGCACCGATCATAATTGAACAATACTCCGTTCGTGTTCTTTGTTACGCAAACTCGCCAACAGCGTGGCTGTTTGACGTCTAATAACAAGGTCAGTAGTGCAAGACGATGTATGGTCAGCCTACAGTAGTTACGTAGTCGCTTCTGAAACAGTAGCGCAACAGTGCACGCCCGGTCGGACAACGTTATCGCGGCTCTTTCGATTTATCGGTACTCCTCGAATCCACGAATACCGAGGGGACGCCGAAAATCTGGCGTTATCCGAAGAAACGGAATCCTCGCGAGGCCGGTGGGCCGGCGCTATAAGTTAAACGACGTCCCGCCGCCGCGATAACGGTTAATCGGGAACCGAGCGACGCGTAACAATAGCCCCGTAATAATGGATGGGCCGGTTTCCCGGTTCATCCGTGCCGTTCCGCGTACGAGAGAGGTCCGTTACCCTGTTGTGTAACAGCACGAACAATGGAGCGATAATTCGAGCCGGTGAAACGCAGCCCCGAGCTGGCAAGACGCGTGCACACCGTTCCACACGTAAGTCGATCACAATACCGTCGCGAAAACGGGTCAATTAACTTCTCGATAGTGAACGTTCCCGTGCACGCGGCGCCGCTTAATCGAGCGTCGCTGCATTTGCCAGCTTCCATGGCGAGCATTCATCTTCGGAATCTATGATTCGCGCATGATTCAGATTCCAAGTGAAATATTTCTGATCGCCTTTCCCGTCCTCTTTTATAACCCCTCGCGGTTTAATTGTATATCGATTCCTTAAGTACCAGAAAAGAGTAGGTATCGATTGCTCATCGTTCGGATTGAATTATTTTTATTATTCCTTCGTTAATATCTTATTATCCTTCGTTATATCTTCGAAATATTTAACGTTTCTTTACGAGGCGGAGACGATGTTCATTGAGACTAATTCGAAGGGAAATCACGAGTACATTGAGAAGCAAAGCTGTTTTATTCCAATGTTTCACGCGTCGAGGCATTGTACAAGGTTTAACATTAAAGTTTTACCGTGTCAAATCGAGTGGTGACTGAGAGTCTCTCGAGTGCAACGGTTAATAATCCTCGCAGGGTGAACACCGTGTTCGGAGCGAGTCTTAGAAACAAAGTTTCCATGTGTTCCATTTGCGTTCGTTACACATAGCGACGGAAGAACTTCCGGGACAACTGAATAGCATATAATCGCGAATTTCCTGCGCCGCAGATTGCAATAACTCCTCCCCCGTGTTTTCCATGCGAAAGCGAAGAACAGAAAGACTGAAATAAAATGTTGTTTACCCGTTTCGCCGGGGAATCGAAGTGGCATCGGGGGAGGCAGCGAACGTGCGGTTGAACGGCGCGCCGCGACGCTCTCGGCGGACTAGCGGCTGACGTCAGCGCGATTGGTGTTTCCGTCGGACGGAACGAGCCGGCGACGGTTCGCAGGTGCGCGTCGGTGCTCGGCAAGTTTACCGCACAATCCGGCGATTCATCGGGAGAAGCAATTAAAGTTTCTATGCGAGTTTGATGATCTTTGCTCCGTTTCAGGCTGTCTCCGGGCGCGTACGTGCACGGCCGATTACACTATCGCGGGGGTTTCCGTGTCCGCGGCGGTTTCTAATTATCCGTTAAGCGGTGAGCGAGCGCGAGGTGTCGAGTCGAATGATTAGTCAGCTCGACGTCGACGCGTCGGGGAGCCGGACGACCGCTCGTCCTCGATGGGAAGGCGTGGTTCGCCGTCGGACACGATCCCCGACGCGGCTGGGAACGGGCCGACAACAGGGCGGGATCTCGTCGTTGCGCCCGAGGAGAAGATTCGATCGGATTAGAAGGGCGAAGACGCGACGCCGGTGCTCCGCGAAAAGTCGCGGTCAGCAGAAAGTTTCGCGCGGCGCGATGAAAAGGCACAGAAAAAAGGGAGAAGGAGTCCGACGGAATGGAAAGGGGGGATGGGGACGTCGTAGAGGTTGGCACAAAAGAGGTGGAGAGCATCGGCGACGGCCAAGTAAACGCGAAACGTCGCCTGAAAACGAGGAAGTCGCTGCGGCGCTGCTCGAACGATCGTCAGGGCGGAAACGGCCGGGCATAGAGGCGAACGGAGACGGAAAGGGAAGCTGGTGGAGAGATCGAGGCTACGGCTGAAGTCGGAGCTCGACCGCGCCGCGAGCGGAAGGCGGGTTAATAGCGACGCCGTCGTAGCATCGCGTCGCGCGCGTTTAGGGGGTTAAGGGTTACGCCCGGCGATGCGTTTGTACTCGTGTCAACGATCCTACACGGTTCAGCGAGTGTGTCGAG